CAACAACCTTCATTTTTTTAAAAAAAAAACTTTAAAGTCAAAAACTAGTTAAAATAGTTCAACCCAAACATCTGTTATTTAATCTGTACTAACAAATACTTATAACAATAATTTTGCGGAAATACAAACAACAAAATTTAAAGTATGTATGCAAAAACAACAATCAATAACATAAAATGATAGTGTGAACATATGCTTATTGTATATTATCAAAAAGGTCACAACTCTTCGAAAAAGTTACAACCCTTCGAAAAAGGTTACAACATTTCATAAAAGTCTCAACTTTTCATAAAAATCACAACTCTTCATAAAAATCACAATTTTTCATTAAAATCACAAATCTTCATAAAAGTTGCAACTTTTCATGAAAGTCACAACTTTTCATATTTCATTCACACCTTTTAAAACTCAATAACATCCTCTAATCATGTACCAGAAAAGGGAAAAAGTTAATCACAATAAATATTTTTTTCCATCAACATATCTTAGCTACTAATTTTCCAACCATTTGACCTCTGTTCTGTTTTTTTGGATAATAAATAAATTAAATAGTTGGAACCATTAAATACTTCTCCTAATAGTAGCACTATTTATAGAACCATACTTCCTCACTTGATCTTCCAACATAAACAAATCCATCACTTATATGGAAAAAAAAATGGAGGGTACAGTGAAATGCTCAGCAAACTTTGTGCCATTGAGTCCAATTAGCTTCTTAGAAAGATCAGCAAAAGTTTATGGTGATAGGCTCTCTATTGTTCATGGAAATGTGAGATATACCTGGAGAGAAACTCGCGAAAGGTGTATCCGACTTGTTTCTGCTCTCACACACCTAGGAATTTCTCGTGGGGACGTGGTATGTGTTTATCGTTCAATTCACTTTAATAGTTTCTTAGTTGTTAGTTTGAATGTTTTATTAAATTTTTTTAACTAAATTTGTGAGCAGGTTGCTGCCTTGGCTCCAAATATTCCTGCATTGTATGAGCTACACTTTGGAGTACCAATGGCTGGGGCAGTACTTTGTGCACTTAATACGCGTTATGATTCAGATATGGTCTCTGTGTTACTAAAGCAGTTAGAGGCGAAAATCATATTTGTAGATTACGAATTGCTTGATGTTGCTAAGGGTGCATTAGAAATTCTATCAAAGGAAAGGGTAAATTTGCCGCATCTAATTCTGATCTCTGATACAGAGAGTGAGTTATCCAGCCCGAATAATAATTGGAGTTTGGCTTCAAAATATGTGGAGTATGAGTCCTTTTTAGCTAATGGAGAATCTGATTTTGAGATTGTATGGCCAAATGATGAATGGGATGCTATTGCTGTGAATTATACGTCAGGAACAACATCGAGGCCAAAAGGGGTTGTGTATAGTCATAGAGGGGCATATCTTAATTCTCTGGCTGCAGCTCTTCTCACTGAAATGGCTTCGATGCCTGTGTTTTTATGGACTGTTCCAATGTTTCATTGCAGTGGCTGGTGTCTTACTTGGACTGTAGCAGCACAGGGTGGTACAAATATTTGTATGAGAAATGTGACCGAAAAAGGGATTTTCGACAACATAAGTCAGCACCAAGTGACTCACATGGGTGGTGCACCTACGATTCTGAACATGATAATAAACGCGCCACAAAGTGTTCAAAAACCACTCTTAAAAACAGTAAATGTTATGACAGGTGGTGCCGCGCCTCCTCCTCAAGTTCTACTTGTGATGAAAGAGCTCAATTTTAATGTTACTCATGGATATGGTCAAACAGAAGCTTATGGTCCAGCAGCTGTTTGTTTTTGGAAACCAGAGTGGAACTATCTGTCCCCTGTTGAGCAGGCTAATCTTCACGCTCGTCAAGGAGTGCACCATCTTGGCTTAGAGGACGTAGACGTAAAGGATTCAAAATCAATGAAGAGTGTACCATCAGATGCAAAAACAATAGGTGAGGTGATGATTAGAGGAAACACAGTAATGAATGGTTACTTTAAGGATGTGAAAGCAACAGAAAATGCTTTTAAAGGGGGCTGGTTTCGTAGTGGGGATTTAGCAGTGAAACATCCTGATGGTTACATAGAAGTAAAGGATCGTTCAATTGACATCATTATCTCCGGTGGAGAAACCATTAGTTCAATCGAAGTGGAGTCTGTTATCTTTAGCCATCCATCTGTTTTCGAAGCTGCTGTAGTGGGAAAACCAGATGATCACTGGGGTGAAACACCCTGTGCATTTGTTAAACTGAAGAATGGATGCAATGCCAGTGCTGATGAGATCATCAAGTATTGTCGCGATCGTTTGCCACAATACATGGCTCCTAGGACGGTTATTTTTGATGATTTGCCAAAAACATCAACCGGAAAGACTCAAAAGTTCGTTCTGAGAGAGAGAGTCAAAGCCATGGGAAGTGTTTCGAAAGGTAGCTAACTATAATGAGTTGTGGTGCGGAAATGGGGCTTGGTTAGACATAAGTTAAATCGTAGTCATAAATAAGACTAGTGCAGCATAACAATAGAGGAATTTGACCTTTTGAAAAAGGGTTATTATTATTTACTCTATTGGATGCTTTATTATAATCGTCAGATAACATATTAGTAATAATAAATAATAAAAAAGCTCTGTTTCTCTTTAATATATATCTTGGAGTTCTTTCATTTATTACTTCTCATTTGTTTACAATTTTATACAACATTGTATATACTATTAGGGGTGTTTATCGGGTGGTTTGGTTGGATATTTACATCTAACGATTCAACTTATTTTAATTCATTAATTTAAGATATCAGTTGATTCGGTATGAAAATAATTATTATCGATCAATTAGCCACTTCCCGTTAAAAACTTGGAGAAAATAAAAGGTAAAAGTGCAAATGTAATAACCAGGGAGAACGGTTTGAACAGCAGTAATAGAAATTCCAATTACTTGGAAATAAAATATATTGGTTACATGCATTATAACTTTGATAAGATATCCCTTAAGTTGAGTAGTGACTTTGTTTACATAAAAATAAAAATAAAAATAATCTCCTTCTTCTCATTATACTAAAGGAGCACATTATGAATTTATGAGACTCGTACTATAGAGTAATAATAAAACATTTTCACAAGTTAAAGTGCCCATATAAACATATAGCACACCAACTTTTTATCTTTAACATTTTGATTCGATGCATGAATCATTATGATATTGACACACATATAATCATAATCATAACTTATTAAAACAATATGGTAAATCAATAATTTCAAATCATGTCCAAACAGCGTCTTAGTATTATAAAGAAATGGAGAGAGTACTCAATAGTATAGCTTTTGTTTAGCTATAATTATTTATTTCCATTTGCAATTTAAGCTGTCAACTTGTTGGGGGGAACTTCAAGAGTAAATTCTTAAATGGTCAATCAAATTATAGTTGATCTATTTGATTTGATATTGGATCAAAATCATATGAAAAAACAACTCAATTAGCGGCCAATATTAGCTACTATAAACTTTAAGCTAGCGTTTGACCATAGATTTTCAAATATTTTTGGCAAATATTATATGGGTGAAATTTCACCATGTGTTTGGCCATAATATTTGAGAAATATATTTTACTTTTTTAATAAATATGATTATATCCATAAGTTTTAAAAACTATCAAAATTAACCATATGTTTGTATTACATAGTAATATAGAAACGTCGACGTAACAAGATTCATGACTTCCGCAACAAGTCCATTGTATCTTCGTTGCAACAAATAATAAGTAGTGTTCGTGACATTGGAGCAATGTTGTAGTTTGGAGTGAGTGCAACAAGCATCATTCCATACATTGTAAAGTAGACGAAACACATGACTTTATTACCCTAAGTTGATTGTTCGTCATTTTCATGAACAACCATATCATCACTTTCATATTCATTGAATATTTCATCACTGCTTTGGTGTTCACGTGAAAAACTATGTAATACAATGCAAACAAATACTATAGAGGGTGTTTTTATAAAAAATAAAATTTTGGTGTAGAATTTGAATTTTTAAAAGTTCCCAAATAATGAGATTTGGCCAAAATACTAGTTTTTTCTAGTATTTGAGAATTTGGGTTATTTGCCAAAAATTTTTACCAAATAATGGTAAATTATATGAAACAAACACTATTTGCCAAATTCCCCCCCAAATATTACTTGAAAAATCTATGGCCAAACGGGTCCTAAATAAATCCATTTTAGCCGGTTAAGTAGTTAGGACTTTGGGAGGAATTACATGGAATTTGATTTTAGATTACATAATTTTAGGGTTATGATAGAATATTCTATCTAATTTTTTTTTGAAGCTGTGAGGCACGTCTGACTCTGAGAACCTGTTTGACATTGTTGTTGAGAGGTCAATGATATTTATTTTGAAAATTAAGGCGCTTGGCAAATCAGTAAAAATGCTTTTAAATGGGAGCACAGTTTTTCTGTCGTTGGGAAGAAACTAAAAATTCTTTAAAAGGGAAGCAGTAGCAAAAAAAATAAAATTTCAAGACCAAAATATCACTTCCATATACACATATTTACCGATATATCTCTTATTAATTAATTATCATATCTCATAAGTTTGATTTAAGATTTAGTTTAATTTTATATTAAAAATAACTATTTTATTTTACGTTTATATATTATTATTCTATATTTTATATATTATTTTATGTATTATTTTGCATGATTAGAATAAAAGAAGGAAAATTGATTGAAAAAAATTGAATATATACCTATTAATTTAATTAAAATTCTAATAATAGATATTTAAACTAATTTTTCTCTATAAAGTAATCTTAATATCAAATTTTGCAATGACAATAAATAAAGTATGACTAGAGATGACAATGGAGCGAGACAGATTCAACCTTAACCCGCAAAGACTTAAACGTACCCCACATAATAAAATTTTCTATTTTCAAATAGCTCCACCCTAAAATCTTAAGCCCACTCCGCCCCGCCCCGCCCCAGCCCATTGTCTTCCCTGCCTATAATTGAGATTCCATATGTGAAATTATTGAGTTTGCCTTTATTACAAGTCCACACTCCCTGCATCAAGTCAAAGCTTTCTATTTCATTCCATGGCAGAAGCTTTGCTTCAAGTTGTGCTAGACAATCTCACTTCTTTTCTCAAAGGGGAACTTGTATTGCTTTTTGGTTTACAAAATGAGTTTCAAAAGCTCTCAAGCATCTTCTCTACAATCCAATCAGTCCTTGAAGATGCTCAGGAGAAGCAATTCAACGACAAGCCACTTGAAAATTGGTTGCAAAAACTCAATGTTGCTACATATGAAGTCGATGACATCTTGGATGAATATAAAACTAAGGCCACACGATTCTCCCAGTCTGCATATGGCCGTTATCATCCAAAGGCAATCCCTTTCTGTCACAAAGTCGGGAAAAGGATGGACCAAGTGATGAAAACACTGGATGCAATTGCTGAGGAAAGAAGGAATTTTCATCTGCAAGAAAAGATTATAGAGAGACAAGCTGCTAGACGGGAAACAGGTGCTCATCTTAAACAGCTTAGTTTATATTCATTTTTTTTTTTTGGCAATTATCAAATTTGGAAATGAGTCAAATATATCACTTATACTTTTAGTCTAAATATATCTCTTCCATTGTACTTTGACACAAGTTTATCCTTAATTTTGACGAATAAACACTTGTCAAGCTCAAAATCAAATTATCCACCCCCAATTTTAAATACCCGATTTCTTACTTGTTAATTTCTTTCTTTAAAAGTACCAAATTCAGAAAAACAATATCAAGTAGGATAATGGAAAATTATAAGAACCATAAAAGTACGAAAACGGAACAGAAACTTATTAAGATGGAAGAGAGTGACAATATCATCTTCTAATAAAGCTACCAATTTAAATCTGATACAGAGGAGCAGCAAAAATAATTGTGGGTGAATTATTTGATTATGTGCTTATCATGTGTCTTTAATTTCCATCAAGGTTAAGGACAAATTTGAGCCAAATGGCAGAGGTATATTTGGACCAAAAGTATAATTATGGGTATATTTAAAGTATTTCTGATAACACAGGAGTATATTGTACAAAAATATTCTCTATTTTCTGCTGACTCCTAATGAGTTTGAATGTAACAATATTCTCATGTGGACATTGCTTGCACCAGGCTCTATATTAACTGAACCACAAGTTTATGGAAGGGACAAAGAGGAAGATGAGATAGTGAAAATCCTGATAAACAATGTTAGTAATGCCCAACAACTTTCAGTCCTCCCAATACTTGGTATGGGGGGACTAGGAAAGACCACTCTTGCCCAAATGGTCTTCAATGATCAGAGAGTTACTGAGCATATCCATCCCAAAATATGGGTTTGTGTCTCAGATAATTTTGACGAGAAGAGGTTGATGAAAACAATTATAGGAAATATTGAAAGAAGTTCTCTTGATATCGAGGACTTGGCTTCACTTCAGGAGAAGCTTCAAGAGTTGTTGAATGGAAAAAGATACTTTCTTGTCTTAGATGATGTTTGGAATGAAGATCAACAGAAGTGGGATAATTTAAGAGCAGTCTTGAAGGTTGGAGCAAGTGGTGCTTCTGTTCTAACCACTACTCGTCTTGAAAAGGTTGGATCAATTATGGGAACATTGCAACCATATGAATTGTCAAATATGTCTCAAGAAGATTGTTGGTTGTTGTTCATCCAACGTGCATTTGGACACCAAGAAGAAATAAATCCTTACCTTGTGGCTATCGGAAAGGAGATTGTGAAAAAATGTGGTGGTGTGCCTCTAGCAGCCAAGACTCTTGGAGGTATTTTGCGCTTCAAGAGAGAGGAAAGAGAATGGGAACGTGTAAGAGATAGTGAGATTTGGAATTTGCCTCAAGATGAAAGTTCTATTCTACCTGCCCTAAGGCTTAGTTATCATAATCTTCCACTTGATTTGAGACAATGCTTTGTGTATTGTGCGGTGTTCCCAAAGGACACAGAAATGGAAAAGGAAAATCTAATTGCTATCTGGATGGCACACGGTTTTCTTTTATCAAAAGGACACTTGGAGCTAGAGGATGTGGGTAATGAAGTATGGAAAGAATTATATCTGAGGTCTTTTTTCCAAGAGATTGAAGTTAAATCTGGTAAAACTTATTTCAAGATGCATGATCTCATCCATGATTTGGCTACATCTCTGTTTTCGGCAAACACATCAAGCAGCAATATCCGCGAAATAAATGTAAAAAGTTACACACATATGATGTCCATTGGTTTCGCTGAAGTGGTGTCTGTGTCTCCTTACTATCCACTCAGCTTGGAACAGTTTGTCTCGTTAAGAGTGCTTAATCTAAGTTACTCAAAACTTGACCAGTTACCATCTTCCATTGGAGATCTAGTGCATTTGAGATACCTAAACTTGTCTGGCAATGGTAGAATTAGTAGTCTTCCAAAGCAGTTATGCAAGCTTCAAAATCTGCAGACTCTTGATCTACAATATTGCACCTCACTTTGTTATTTGCCTAAAAAAACAAGTAAACTTGGTAGTCTCCAAAATCTTTTACTTGATAAGTGTTATGCTTTGATTTCTATGCCACCATGGATAGGATCTTTAACACGCCTTAGGATTCTAGATTGCTTTGTCATTGGCAAGAGAAAAAGTTGTCAACCTGGTGAACTACGAAATCTGAATCTCTATGGCTCAGTTGTTATCACACATCTTGAGAGAGTGAAGAATAATAGGGACGCAAAAGAAGCCAATTTATCTGCAAAAGCGAATTTGCAATCTTTAAGCATGTGTTGGGATAACAATGGACCACACAGATATGAATCAGAAGAAGTTAAAGTGCTTGAAGCCCTTAAACCACACCCCAATCTGAAATATTTATATCTCACTGGCTTCAGAGGATTCCGTCTCGCAGACTGGATGAATCACTCAGTTTTAAAAAATGTTGTCTCTATTGTAATTGAAGGTTGCGAAAACTGCTCATGCTTACCACCCTTTGGTGAGCTGCCTTGTCTAGAAAGTCTAGTGTTACACAAGGGGTCTGCGGAGGTGGAGTATGTTGAAGAAGACAATATTGATGTTCATTCTGGATCCCCCACAAGAATAAGATTTCCATCTCTGAGAAAACTTACTGTAGCCAAATTCCGTAATCTGAAAGGATTGCTGAAAAAAGAAGGAGAAGAGCAATTCCCTGTGCTTGAAGAGGTGGAGATTGAGCAGTGCCCTGTGTTTGTTATCCCTACCCTTTCTTCTGTCAAGAAATTGGAAATCGCGCGAGAGGCAGATGCAACTGGTTTCAGGTCCATATCTAATCTTAGGGATCTTACTTCCCTCTACATTAGCGATAACGAAGAAGCTACTTCACTCCCAGAAGAGATGTTCAAAAACCTTGCAAATCTCAAAGACTTGACTATCTCTGAGTTCAAAAATCTCAAAAAGCTGCCTACCAGCTTGGCTACTCTCAATGCTTTGAAGAGTCTGAAAATTGAATGTTGTGGTGCACTAGAGAGTCTCCCCGAGGAAGGGCTGGAAGGTTTAACTTCCCTCACAGAGTTATCTCTCCAGTACTGTGAGATGCTAAAATGTTTACCCGAGGGATTGCAGTACCTAACAGCCCTCACAAGTTTAACAGTTGAGGGATGTCCAGAAGTGGAAAAGAGGTGTGAGAAGGGAATAGGAGAAGACTGGCACAAAATTGCTCACATTCCTAATCTGCATATTCGTAACTATTAGTATTTATAATAGTTTCTTGGGTTCTTTGTTTGTGATTCTCCCACACAGACCATTCCTGTTTGTATTAAGTATTACTTATGATGTGAAACCCATTTCTCTGTACTTGCTGCTGTTATATTAATATGCACTACATCTAATGTTTCCCCTGGTTTCTGTTACATTCTAACTTGATCAAAAGTGTCCTGCACCGTGTACTTTGAAAAGACTATTTCTTGAAAAGCCCTTATGAACCAGGCATTTCTAGTGAGCTCAGAAGACATGGTCCATTAAGGACTTTTGTTGGTCCGCTAGGACTTGCAGAGCGCATTTGATGTCATGTAGGTTCACCTCCTCTCTAGTATTTACACGATCCAAAGCCCATGTTCATCAAGTCGGGTTCAATTCTGTTTACTTCAGAAACATGTCTTTCCAGAAGGTCCGGCCGGAGCCCTAACATATCGATCATGCTCGGGTTGTTGTCAGTTATAGGTGAAACAATAATATTCAAGCTAGCTAGTAAGGAAGAAGAGTTCAGTGAGTTGAACCTAAACCAACACACAATTGAGAGGTTAGGTACAAACACATGATATGCGTATATTAGTTTCATCAGCTTTTTAATAGATTAATAAATTGATATTAAAAAAATTGGTCATGACAAAAACAATTAAAGCAATAAGGGAGGATTCCCTCCCCGAAAATAGTTTATTTTAGAGTATGTGTTTTAATCAAATATGAAATTTGTATTAACAAATTTTTTTAGAGTATATGTTTTAATTAAACGTGAAATTTGTTACTTTTGAATTGTAAAAGTAAATTAACAAATCAACAAGAAGGATCTATCCAATACAAAAAACAAAGGAAGGGTAAGACTAATTTATTTTCTGATAGTTTGAAAATAATATTAGCCTTTTTTCCCCAATAAAATCTCATGTTTGATATGAATTAGGATATTGATAGGTAGACAGATTAATGATTAAAAAATTATTCGTAATCTTATCGCATGACGCATGTTTGACTTTTTATATTCCCTCATTTCCTATTGTAACGTGTGATAGTCAATTTTTGAGTAACTTTTAAAATTAAATTAATATTTTTTAAAAATTATATATTTAAAAATTATACGAAAATAATTAAATATAAATTATAGAAGAATCCATATCCATATAATAATTAATAAAAAATACATTTTAAAATATAGTCAAAGTTGATATTATTCAACTATTGAAAAGTAAACTATACAAAGGAATGAGAGGAGTAACATTCTTATCACTATTAGTTTCTTTATCTTCTTTACCACCATAATTTATGAGTTAAATCATAATAAATTTTGTTTCTGATCTCTGATACAGAGAGTGAGTTATCCAGCCCGAATAATAATTGGAGTTTGGTTTCGGAGAATGAGTCGTTTTTAGCTAGAGGAGAATCTGTTTTTGAGATTGTATGGCCAAATGATGAATGGGATGCTATTGCTGTTAATTATACGTCAGGAACAACATCGAGGCCAAAAGGGGTTGTGTATAGTCATAGAGGGGCATATCTTAATTCTCTGGCTGCAGCTCTTCTAACTGAAATGACTTCGATGCCTGTGTTTTTATCTTTAACATTTTGATTCGATGCATGAATCATTATGATATTGACACATATATAATCATAATCATAACTTATTGAAACGATATGATAAATCAATCATTTCAAATCATGTCCAAACAACGTAGTAGTATTATAAAGAAATGGAGAGAGTACTCAATAGTATAGCTTTTGTTTAGCTATAATCATTTGTTTCCATTTGCAATTTAAGCTGTCAAGAACTTCAAGAGTAAATTCTTAAATGGTCAATCAAATTATAGTTGATCTATTTGATTTGATATTGGATCAAAATCATATGAAAAAAACAACTCAATTAGCGGCCAATATTAGCTACTATAAACTTTAATAAATCCATTTTAGCCAGTTAAGTAATTAGGACTTTTGGAGGAATTACATGGAACTTGATGTTAGATTACATAATTTTAGGGTTATGATAGAATATTCCATCTAAAAAAGATTTAACTATGTAAGGCACGTCTGACTCTGAGAACCTGTTTGACATTGTTGTTGGGAGGTCAAAGATATTTATTTGAAAATTAAGGCATTTGGCAAATCAGTAAAAATACTTTTAAATGGGAGCGCAGTTTTTTTGCCGTTGGGAAGAAGCTAAAAATTCTTTAAAAGGGAAGTAGTAGCAGAAAATTATTTTTCAAGACCAAAATATCACTTCCATATACACATATTTACCGATATATCTCTTATTAATTAATTATCATATCTCATAAGTTTGGTTAAATTTGATTTAAGATTTATTTTAATTTTATATTACAAAAACTATTTTATTTTACATTTATATATTATTATTCTATATTTTATATATTATTTTATGTATTATTTTGCATGATTAGAATAAAAGAAGGAAAATTGATTGAAAAAAATTGAATATATATACCTATTAATTTAATTAAAATTCTTATAATAGATATTTAAACTAGTTTTCCTCTATAAAGTAATCTTAATATCAAATTTTGCAATGACAATAAATAAAGTATGACTAGAGATGACAATGGAGCGGGACAAATTCAACCTTAACCCACAAAGACTAAACCTACCCTACATAATAAAATTTTCTATTTTCAAATCGCCCCACCCTAAAATCTTAAGCCCACTCTGCCCTTCCCATTGTCATCCCTGCCATTGAGATTCCATAAGTGAAATTATTGATTTTGTATTTATTACAAGTCGACACCCCCTACACGACACCCCCTACATGAAGTCAAGCTTTCTATTTCATTCCAATAGCCACCACTTATCTAATATTCTTAATAGTGAATTCCCACTCTTCCCTCAATATGGCTGAAACTTTCCTTCAAGTTGTGCTAGACAATCTTACTTCTTTCCTCAAAGGGGAACTTGTATTGCTTTTTGGTTTTCAAAATGAGTTCCAAAAGCTTTCAAGCATCTTTTCTACAATCCAATCCGTCCTTGAAGATGCTCAGGAGAAGCAATTCAACGACAAGCCACTTGAAAATTGGTTGCAAAAACTCAACGCTGCTACATATGAAGTCGATGACATCTTGGATGAATATAAAACTAAGGCCACACGATTCTCCCAGTCTGCATATGGCCGTTATCATCCTAAGGTTATCCCTTTCCGTCACAAAGTCGGGAAAAGGATGGACCAAGTGATGCAAAGACTAAATGCAATTGCTGAGGAAAGAAAGAATTTTCATTTGCACGAAAATATTATAGAGAGACAATCTGTTCGACGGGAAACAGGTAATCATCTTAAATTAGTATTACGACAGCTTAGTTTACATTCATATTTTTGGCAATTATCAAATTTGGAGAAGGGTCAAATATACTCATGTACTATTGTAAATAGTTTAAATATACCTCTCTTATTATACTTTGGCACAAATTTGTCAAACCTAGCAAGTAGCAAGTTTTAAATACCCGATTTCTTTAGAAATCCACCCGTTTAACTCATCCACTACCCATTCCCTTTGCTTTTTGCTTTGAATTGTTTTCTTTACCTCTAAACTTAGAAAACGCGATCTGTTTTGTTTAATCAAATTAATATTATGTTCTCAATGACGATAGCCTTTCCAGACAGCTGAATGTAAATTTTGTCTAACAAAGAAAAAAAATGATTAGGCATGTTTCTCCTTGTTAGTGATTACGCTGGATTTCTTTCAGAGTGAAATATAGGGGATAAAGTTAGAGCATAGTAATCGATCGTTCATTTCTTTCCTAAAAAGTAAAAAGTTCAGCAAAATAATATCAAGGTACCATGATGGAAAATGATCAGATATGATAAAACTACAAATAGAATAGAAACTTATATATTAAGCTGGAAGAGAGTGAGTGACAATATCATCCTCTAATAACACTACCAAATTCCAAATTTCAAATTCAAATCATGATATGGAGGAGCAACCAAAAAGCATTGGGGGTGAATTATTTGATTATGTGCTTGTCACGTCTTTCCGTCAAGATTAAGGGAAAATTTGTGCCAAAGAATAAAGAGGTGGGATATTTGGACTGAAAGAATAATGGGAGAGATATATTTGGACCAAAAGTATAACAATAGGTATATTTAAAGTATTTCCGATAGTATATTGTGTAAATATATTCTCTATTTTCTGCTGACTCCTAATGAGAATGAATGTAACAATATTCTCATGTTGATATTGCTTGCACCAGGTTCTGTATTAATTGAACCACAAGTTTATGGAAGGGACAAAGAGGAAGATGAGATAGTGAAAATCCTGATAAACAATGTTCGTGATTCCCAAAAAATTTCAGTCCTCCCAATACTTGGTATGGGGGGACTAGGAAAGACGACTCTTGCCCAAATGGTCTTCAATGATCAGAGAGTAACTGAGCATTTCTATCCCAAAATATGGATTTGTGTCTCAGATGATTTTGATGAGAAGAGGTTGATAAAGGCAATTGTAGAATCTATTGAAGGAAAGTCACTCAGTGACATGGACTTGGATCCACTTCAAAAGAAGCTTCAGGAGCTGCTGAATGGAAAACGATACTTGCTTGTCTTAGATGACGTTTGGAATGATGATCAACAGAAGTGGGATAATTTAAGAGCAGTCTTGAAGGTTGGAGCAAGTGGCGCTTCTGTTCTAATCACTACTCGTCTCGAAAAGGTTGGATCAATTATGGGAACATTGCAACCATATGAATTGTCACATCTGTCTCAAGAAGATTGTTCGTTGTTGTTCATGCAACGTGCATTTGGACACCAAGAAGAAATAAATCCCAACTTCGTGTCTATGGGAAAGGAGATTGTGAAAAAATGTGGTGGTGTGCCTCTAGCAGCCAAGACTCTTGGAGGTCTTTTGCGCTTCGAGAGAAAAGAAAGAGAATAGGAACATGTAAGGGATAGTGAGATTTGGAATTTGCCTCAACATGAAAGTACTATTTTGCCTGTCCTCAGGCTGAGTTATCATCACCTTCCACTTGATTTGAGACAATGCTTTGCATATTGTGCAGTATTCCCAAAGGACACCAAAATGGAAAAAGAAAAGCTAATCTCTCTCTGGATGGCACTCGGTTTTCTTTTATCAAAAGGAAAGGAGTTAGAGGATGATGGTAATGAAGTATGGAACAAATTATGCTT